CTTCATTGGCGCCTTTAATCCCATTGGACAGAAGCTGTAGATCTCTAGTATACTTAAACATAGTGAGCAATGGAATTTCTGAATCTGTGAATACCTATGAACTTCACCCCAATATGATATAATGTAGGATATTTGTTCACCTAGTTTCCAATAGTCAAGAAAGGCCTAACAAGGAGCTGTGACTTCCTGCTATTTGAATGAACAAGTGCATCCCCCCCCCCTTACTCACTCACCTTAGTAGGAACACAACTACAAGTTCACTGTGATACCTGAACAATGGAAAACTCGAGTTAGCTCAAACTATAATTAGTGAGAACAAGCCAAGATATGTTTCAGAATCTATTTTCTTATGAAACATAGTTAAATAAACTCGTATAGACCCCCAAGTTTGGGCATCATAAGGAACTATGATTTGCTGAAAAACGAAAGAGTTCACTCTCCTGCTGAAGTATATGAAAGAGGAAGATGGGGAGAGAGAGCGCCTGGGACTGAGCCAGGTTCATTCAGATAGTGCCCCTGTATTGCTGCTATGTCTGAGCCTAGCCTAAGAGTTAGAAATAAGAAGGCTTTATTTGAAAACTGAGAAAACAGTTTATATACAGGCAGTCACCCTATGAATTAATGTGTTTATTCTTCCTCCAGACATACATGATAAGAGCAGTGTGATCTCCACTACATCAGCCTTAAATGGATATTCTTTGGTACTGCACAGTCTCTGGGGAATGGAAGCAATGCAAGCAGATGGAATAAAGTAGCTGAACATCATGCACAGCATGTTTTTCTTATGCAATCAGTTTGCGCATTCACTATCCCCTCATTTCAGCTGCTGAGAGGTGGACTCAGATGCAGGGAAACCCTGCATCACCAGGTGGCCTATGGCTGAGAGCTCTCTGACTGAGTTCACTGGAACAACAGCACATTCCCAATCCATGGTTTGGTGATATACTTTGCAATGATTTTACAGCCTGAAATGTCAGGCTGGGATGACTCATCCAGCAGAGTGTCATACCAGAAACATAAATCACCCTGGCTCAGGAACTTGTGAAATGTCAAAGCTCTCAATTCATCTGTTTGGTATCCTTGGTATTTACCATGTCATGAATCCCTGTTTCCTTCTCTGAAGAATCACTGTGTTAAATGGCTACTCTGCCATCCCTTAGAGCACAACTATACCACAGGTGAGGGGGGGAAGCACCTGCATCCTACGGTAAGGAAATAGTAAATGCAGAATCAGAGACGTTCAGCTCCAACTAACACACTACTAAATGCAGTAAATTCATGCTAAGTGGAGCCCACTTGAGATAAAGCCAAACATGAAGCTGCATTTCTCCAGAGGTAGTTATATCAGGCAACTGCAAGGACAGTAGCTTATTTCTGAAGATGCAGTTAGTTTGCTGGGGTGAATCCATATCGATGGATAACAATACTAAGATATGAGAGCTAATACTACATGATGGCCAACCTCGTTTGGAATTACAGCACCAAGAGCAGTGAAATCAAATAAGCAGGGCAGCGCTTACACATGCTGTTATGGCGGTTATGCAGTACATGCAAAGAGCAGCATTCACCAGTGGGCCAGGATATGCATTTTTTAAACTCAGTGGTACATCTTTCCTTGCAAGTGGCTTTGAAAAATTATATACATAAAGTATTGTTGAGAACATAAGAAGTGATCTTCTGGTCAGGTCAAAGGCACCCACCTAGTCCAGCATTTTCTTTTACCAGCAGCTGACCAAGCATGTCCAGGAAGCTCGCAGAAACAGTACTGCTTACTCACAAACATTCAAACAGCTCAATCACATCCACAAAGGGCAGCTGAACTAGACACAGCACGTAAACCTGCCACAGCAAATGCACACAGCTTTGCCAAGTCTCACAGCAAAAATGCCTAGGAACCTAACCTCCAGAATAATAAAGAAGGTATTGTTAGATTTAGGCTGCAGCCCGAAGCCTATTTACTTGGAAGAGCGGACTACTGAAAGGAATGGGCTTTCTTCATAGAAAACACATTTAGCCTTGTGGAGGATCTCAACATAAAACTGGCACATCTTTGGATGATATCTTTTAACCCCTATTCATTGACCAACAGGACCTGAAAGTTACCTTTCTTTAACTAATAAAGTTTGGAAAGAATACCTGTAATTAATTACATTGTTGCTAAAGATTCATCATTCTGGGGAAAAGTCAATTGTAGAAAGGCTCCTCATTAAACAGCGAGAGTTGGCAACACTTGACAAAGCTAGACAGCAAAGCCCATTCAACCCTTTCTTCTCTTGCATGGGATTAGCAGCATTTCTGTTTTCTTTTTGGCTTCATTTTCATGCTGCCTTCCTGCCCCATCAACCAGGCCTGTATTTCTAAGCAAAGGTCCTGCAGGTGTAGCAGGAATCACAACAATAATATTATGATTGCATTTATGCCCTACTTTTCTTTGTCTTGCAAGGAATCCAAGGTGGGTTGCAAGGTTCTCCACTCTGTTTTATCCTCACAACAACAACCCTGTGAGGTAGGTTAGGCTGAGAGTCCATGACTGGTCCAAAGTCACCCAATGAGCTTCATGGTGGAGCGGGGACTTGATCACATATCTCCTGAGTCCAGCATTCTAACCACTGGCTCTGTTGGAAACCAACTGAAATGCCTGGGACATAAGAAAAGATGCTTTTAGGAGTTTTCCTCTAGTTTTCTGCAATGTCTCTTAGGATGCCCACTTTGTGCTTTCTAGCCCTGCCTGAACTGTCTCCCATCCTTGGCTGCAAACTCAGTGGAACCCTTGCAATTGTAGGCTGAAAGGAAGTTTATGCAAGTCGATTTTCTGAAGGTTGGCTCTTTATCCAATGTTTTCTCCACTTCCCTCTCGGCTTTGTGCTGCACTCCTCTGCTTCCTTCTGCGTATCACCCTGCCCCACAGGAGAGCACAGTCCTACGGGTACTGCCTTCACCTCAGCAAACTTTATTTGAACACATAAAACAAAGACAATACACAAACATATATTGATTTTTCTGTGACAGTTCGACAGAACTCAGACTGCTTTGGACGACACATGTAGAGAAAGGGTTTCTTCCATTGGATTGAACAGCAAGAAAAGTCAGAAAAAGAAGCTCTTTTTTGTACAACTTGTGAATGGTGAGCATCCATGAAAACAACAGCAACAAGGATGGACATACTAAACAATACGTCTCCACATACAATACATTGTTTCTATAGAAATGGTATCTCCATATACATCTATAATATAAATGTACAACAATCTCACAGTGAGTCAGCAGGAAACAACGTTAGATTGACAGTGAGGTTTGTGCCTGCCCAGCAGTACAGTCCACCATCAATGTGCTAATGTGCAACAGAGTGAGGTGGACCCTGGAGAAGACTTGATCATCAGCTAACCTGGAACCCGTGAGTGGCCGAGCCCCTCTCACCCCTCAAGTCTTTCAAGAAGGTTAACTCACTCTTCAACAGTCTGAAGGCAACGGAATGTGCACAAGAAAGTTCAAAGCAGGAAGTCACATCAGATTGGATTAGAAACCCACCCAAATAGGCAACCAAGTGATTCAAGGAAAAGCCATCAAGGTTCTGGTAACAAGAAGCTTTTGAATGTTAGTTGTGAGGGTCGCCATGACTCTAGATGGTATGGCATGTATCATTTGCTATTTCACATTACCGCATCAGCACATTCAGCATTGCACTACATACAAATTATGTTACACAGAGCATACACAGTGCAGGATATGGATACTGACATGTTTTCAGATTTGTACAATATATTATATCTATGTGCATATATATCTCTCTCTTTATATTTCTCACAGACCAAGTAGACACACAAAAATATATGACCCTTAAGGAGATTACTTTAAAAAATTACTTACAATATTGGGGTGGGAGGAAATATATCTCAATACAGTGCACTCCTGTCATACTGAATATGCTGATGCAAATTCAATAGAAAGCATGAATAACATGAGCAGTAACCTTATGACACAATCTAAGAGGAGCATCTCTTGCGGAAATCCCACTGAAATGACAGGAGTGAAATGCTAGAGGAGATCAAAAGGCCATCTAGTTCCGAGACCTGCTGTGTGGCAGGGTCATGAATCCACTGGCACCCTAAAGATCTGCTTATGCAATCTAGACTCCAGCACGCCACAAGCACAGTGCAAGTGAACCACAGAAGGTACCCAAGAAGCAAATTTCTCTAGGTGACTCATGCCTGAGGGCCAAGCAACATGTTCTAGGGGAAAGAAAAGCAAAGGCAGGCAAGGCAAGGCAAGGCAAAATGTAAACAAAATTCTTGAAGCCCCCAGTCAATCTGACCAGTGAAGCCCTTTGCAAAGCATCAGAGAACTTCCTCTTGAGCTGAACAGAAGGAACAGGGACAAACCCCACCCCCAGCTATACTTGGGCTGGTTTAAAAACATACCTATGAATGTACTGTAACATTGGGAGCTGTGAACCTTTTGCCCTCCTGTGGAATTCCTATTTTTCCCTAGTGGGGTTTGTGTAAGAGATGTTCCCATTAGATTTGCCGATAATTATTGGCATTTGTTCCAAGCTGTGTTCGACATAAGCATTTGTTCATTTGGTACATGTATAAGTGGTATGCACCATGCTGACACAGCAGCATCCCACTTCCGGAATGGTGCCACCTTTGCATCCCATGGTGGCATCACACCATGCTTCCTTGGCAAATGGTGGCAAGGCAGGCAGTTTGCATCCATGAACCCAGGAAAACACGGAGCTGCATCAGACTGCCAATGGCACCTGATGGCTGTGCTCCGGCCATTCCATAACCTCCCTCAGGCACTCACGTTATCCCTCCCTTGGCAGGATTTAAGAGGCCACAACTGGCACTTTATGGAACTTGCAGCTCTATGTTCCAGCACCAACCTATGATCTTCCATACCAATACCATTATCTGTTGTCACACATAGCCAAGCTTCCAAGTGAGAGACTGTATTCAAACACATCTTTTCTATTTAGCAAAAAATGGTTTCCACTGTACCCTTGCTGTGTCCTCTTCCTAACGTGACAAACCCAGAGGAGATGAAATTATGGAAATCTGGACCTCCACTTCGATAAATATCCTTCCCATAGTGACCTGCCAAGGAAAGACAACAAACAACACATCACCTTATGCAATTCACCCCCATCCACCACCAGTTCACCAATATCCACAACCCTGTTTCTGAGCAAAAATGGAAATAGGAGGCTACAGCACAGCAGAACACAGTGCCTGTGGAACAGAAAGGGATCAGCACAATACGGTTTCTCAGCCTATCCCAGTCACATGTGTGTCAAGTGTCACTTCCCCAGTGCTGTGCCTCATGCATCAGTTCTGGACCTTTCCCCGGTCAGAGTTTATTGGCAAAGTTCTACATCTCTTTTTCTGCTGTGTGCCTACCCAAGTGTTGGCACTAAATATGCATTTAGAAAGTAGTGGCAAAGATAATGGTTAGGTTCACTGGGCTCCTCAGACTTAGACTATTCCACAGGCAATCCTTGTGCTGAATCCTTATGCCAGAAGATTCATACGCTCTTTTTGTAGTTTGATCATCTTCTCTGAGCACTCCGTAGATTGGATTATTTGGATTAAGAATGGGAAACAAGCTTTAGAACACCAGAGCACCACAGGTTTTCCCAGAAGGCCCTATGCAAAGTGGGGTGGGGGAAAGCTTGGCCACAGCCCTACCCCATGCCTCTCCATAGCCTGCCCAGTACTGCAGCCATGGCAATTTCACCTTTGGTTTAGAAATGAGAGGAAGGGAACCTTCTCCAGGAGCACATTTGGTTCAGAGGCCACCAAATGCTGACCACTACAGGATGCCACCTGCAAGACTGGAGCATATTTGATACTGGAGCTGTGGGGCTTAGTGTGGAAGTGGATGAGGAGTGTTTCACTGAATCCCTACTTCAAGCAGTTACTGTGGTGTGGCTTCTGTCTCCTTGCTTGCCTAAGAAACCACTTGAGTTGGAGGTCAAATCAAGGAACAGAACAGAAGAGGAATACTAGAGACAAACCAGCCAGCTCTTCTCATTCCTTTGCCCCAAGACTCTCAGGGGTGATTGTGAAACATCACTTGCAATAGGCACGTGAGCAAAAATCATATTCCTACTGGAGAAGAGGTGTTGTTGGCTGGTACATGAGGAGCTGGCCTAGTGCAGCCTTTCCAATCTGGTGTGTTGGACTTCAACTCCCATAACCCCTCAGCTAGCCTAGGCGGCTGGGGAATCAGGGAAATTATGTTTGAACAAATCTAGAGGACTTGAGGCTGGGGGAGGCCGCTGTAGAGATTTTATAGTTACCTACCTACTCCTTGGCTATTGCTTCCTTCAGAGTAAAATTATTGATAAATAAGCACTTTCCCTGAAAAGGCCCAAGAGAAACACAGAACTAGAAGAGCATCCATGTTTTAGCACATGTCCCCCAATCTCTTACAAAATATTTCTCTCCCTGAAAAAGAGGCAAGTTTTGCTGCCACATTTACAGGAAGGGGGATAATTTTGAAAAAGATTTCCACTGCGGGAGGGTAGGAGGTGGGCGAGGGGATCTTTTTGTCTATTTTTGAGCGTTAAAGGGGCCCTATGCATTCTCTCGGCACTCTGAGGCTCCCCCACACACAAATGGTTTTGGCCTGGCAGCCCTTCTGGAACTCCCATGAGACCATGGGACCATGTGCTCTCACAGGCATTCAGGAAGAGCTGCTGGGCCTCTCTGTAGGAAGTCCCATGCTGCTGCAAGTGTATGGGGCAGTTTTAAAGGATAGGGAGGGAGGACTCCTTGACCATCACCTGTCTTTTAAAAGGAAGAAAGAGGCTCTGCCCCCACCCCCACATAAAAATAGGAAATTCTCGGCCTATTTCCTCGCAGTTTTCAAGTCTTCCCAACCCCATGAATTGCCCAGCATTGAGGAATCAAAGTATTTGGAACAGGACATATATATGATTGCAATGTTGACAACTGCCCATTCCCTCTCCCCCTCCCCCTCCCCCTCCCCTCATCTGTGCGGATGGGGCCACCAGGCCCCTCCATTCACTGCCACCCACCATCAAATGCCTGGCCTTGATGGGACCCTTCCTGAGCACCAGGCCCTGGTCTGTGCCGTGGGCCATCTCCCAGGATGCCTCTTGAGTAGCTGCCCATCCGCAAACTTCTGACATGCTCTAAAAGGCAACCTATCCTGCCTTCTCAGTGCCTCACTGTGATGAGGCGACCCATCAGATGGAGGCATCTGGGTCTTTCTGAACAGCTGTGCCCACCACTTTCTCCTGTGGATGTGGCTCTCTTGGGGATGGGTGCTGGCAGGTGGGTGGAAGGCCTTAGGGCTCAGCAGGTGTGGGCCCTTCGGAGCCCAGGTCCTGCCTGGCCTTGCTGACTCCTGGCACTGGGCCTGTATGTAGTAGTCCTATTTAGACAGTTGCATATGTTTCGTTTCCCTCTCTTTCACTCTTACACACTCAAACACCTGCATACTAATGAGGATGGAGAATGGCTTGTACTTGCTCATCAGCTGTGGACCATTGGCCTGCTGGTTAACATGTGGATTTTTAGCATATGAACATTCAGACCTGTGAATAGCACATCTTCCTTCTGTATGGAAATTAGGTCAGTCCTAAGTATAGGGCATGTAAAGCTGCACTCTAATGAGAGTTAAGTATTATTGTTTTTAAATAGACTAGCAGTGTCTTCTTCCAACTCAGCTGTAGCTGCCCAGTTCCTTTAATGTGTCTACTGGGAGTAAATGATTTTCTACAGTACTACTTGACTGAGGTTGCATCTCCTGGGTCTTATCATATTACTCGCAACTGGGCTGGCTCCAATGCCACGGCTGGTTCTCCTGAGATCAATTCCATTCTTTTTTTTTTTTCTCCAGTCATTTCAAAACTCCAACCCCCCCCCCACACACACACACACAAAACCAGGATGTTCTGGAAGGCAGTAGAGTCACACTGGGAAGGGAAGAGCTTGCCCCATAGATCTTTCTGCTATCCTTCAAGGGATAGAATTATATCACAGGGGAAAGACTTCTTTCTAGTCACAGGCTGGATCAACCTTGACTGGATGAGTCTTTTGCTCACCATGCAATAAAAGCCAAGATCTTCAGGGCATTTCAGCTTAAAAGGGAAGCACTTGGCGGCAACCCCCCCCCCCCCCCCCCGTAAATTGCATAAGGAACAAATGTGGTTACAAATGTCAATTATATTCCCAGCTCAGAAATAATGGAATTATTAGAGCTGAACTAAATTGCTGCTACCCACCTTTCAGAAATGTTATTCCTAAACACAGATTATAAAACACTGTGCTCTTTGGGTACTTAAATTTCAAGTTAGATTTGTACATAAAGAGGCTGAACTTGAAGCTACCACAGAAGGAAAAAAAAAATCACTTGTTTGTCTGTGGGGGGGAGCTGTAGATGTATGAGAAAATTTGTTTTTTCCCCATAATTTGGACAATTTGAGTGGCGTGGAACAAAGTATTTAGTAGAAGCAGTTCCAAGGAGATGTGGGCTATATGCATGCCCCAGGAATGGAGGGAGCATCTATCTGACCTATCAGTCAAGCACAGCTACCTTAGAGGAACAGCTGCAGCTCACAGCCTTGGGGAAACTAATCCCCAGGGCTAAGGAAGGGCATTTCAAGTGCAGAGGGGCTTCCAGGCAAAATGACTATCATAGCTGACTATCAAGGATGACCTCAGCTTGGGGAAAATGCTCTGCCTGGAGAAGGCTGGACACTTCAGCTTTCTCTCCTGCAGGGACTGATTTCCAGTCTGCTTTAACATCATTGTTCTGCTTTGCCTTTGCTATACATGGAGAGTGTAAATTAGCACAGGGTGCAGAGATTAGGCAGGATATGTGCTGAAGTGAGATCCAGGAAGCACTGTGATTTGTTCTGAAAAAAGAAATGAGGGCCAACTTAAAAATCCAGTAGCAGCAGAGGCACCTACTGGCAAGCATTCAGGAATCTCCATCAGGACTAGGGACCTTAGACCCAGGATCTGCTGTTATTTCTTCATTCTCATGAATACCAGGAAGCCCAGCAGAATAAACGACTGAGTGGTGATTCAGCTTTAATCAGGGTTCATTTGGCAAAAGCTGGAACTCTCTCCATACAATGTCCCTCTAGAGACCACCTAGCTGTGAGCCCTGTGTGACTTGCTCTGCTTGTTCCTCCTGGCCTGGGGGGAGAGGGGGGGCTGCCAATTGCCTCCAGCTTGGAAGCTGCTGCTTCTGCTAGTTTTGCTACTGGTGTGTGTGTTTGTGTGTGAAATTTCACATTACTGGGTGTGACACAGACACAACCAGTTCTACCCTGGCTCCAATATGGAGGCCACAATCCATGCAGGAAGCACCCATGAGGCTTTAAAAATAATCAGAACTTAACAACACTAGGGGTAGTTATACCCTGAGTTCTAGTTTAAATTCTTCAACAAAGTTATCAAAATTCTGTACTCAGTTTATTCAAATTTGCAAATCTGCATTCTACTTGATACAATGGAACATGTCACAAAATTCAGAATATTGTTGCAAGGCTTGGAATGGTGAAGAGTGAACAGTCTAGCATGTCAGGATGACGCAAATAGAAAGAGACAGAGTCTGTAAGCAAGACAAACAAATTACATATGACACAGATCCCACTGAAAGCCCCTTTATATTAGGTTTCCAATCTTTCAGCAGGCCTTTTCCATCTCTCCTTCACCCCCATGCCGTCCTACTTTACAACTCTGAGGGCTAGAAACTATTTAAAACAACAACAGCAACATAAACAGACATTTATGAATAATATTGCACATGCATAATGCATGTATCCTGTTCAACATCCACTATCACTTTGGATTTTTGTGATGCAACAGTTATCAGAGAATTCTGATGAATCTGTGAGATGCCTACTGAGCTTGATCCTCCAAAAAGATGGAAGCATATATGGTTGCAACTGTGCATTTTTACTTTTGTATGAATGCACACCGTCATGTAAACCACTGTCCTGTTCTCTTCTGCTTCTCTATCCATGTCTTTTACATATACTCCATACTCTACTATGCTCATGTGCCCTGATTTGCTCCTTACTTCATAACTGATAAGAGCCCTGCTGGATCAGACC